CGTTAAAATATATTTTTTTTAAATTATATATTCTGTTATATATAAATTATAAAGAAAGAATTACAAAGAAATCTTTAAAATTTTTTGCTGTTATAAATTATTATTATTATTATTATTATTATGTAAATTGTGCATTTCTTTACATAAATAAGACCTCTAAATTTTAAATTTAACATTTCTATTAATTATATAGTCGACTTAAAACATACATATTTCAAAATTGTCTCCGCGAATGAATGTAAAAATTTACCATATAAATTATTCAAGGTTATTTTTTGATATTAAAATGGTGAAATAGTTTTCTATATTAGAATTTTTAATGAATAAAATTTGCAATGACGATGATCGCAGAATATTTTCAAAATAGCTTTGAACATGATGAAAATTCTACGTCGTATTTTCAATTTCCGGCTTAATCGCGAATGCACTTTCGACGTGCTTACGTAATTATTTCCAAATAATGTCACATCCTGCCGGAAATGAGGCGTTACCACATAATTGTATTATAAACCGCCGTTATTCGAGGTCTAATGGATAATCATCGGCGGTACGCGGAATTGACTCTCCGGTAATATTTGCATCGTCGATGCACTCTATACTTTGCCAAGCAATAACGTTTGGATGAAACGTCACATTGTTACTTTTTATTTAAGTAATCAAGGCTTGCTTATATTTATTTTATTGGATATTTATTAGAGATATTTCACGAGTTAGTCTATTAAATTAGTAAATTAGTCTATTAAATTAAATTAAATCTATTTTTGCAATTTAACTACCGCAAAATTAAATACTTTTCCGATTTATGTGATTCGATTTAAAATTCAATGTATAGTAAAACCTTCCGTATTTACAAATTTCTTAGATTCAAATTTCTGAGATTCTTTATTTACCTTTAATTGGAAAAATCTAACGTGATTTAGATTACAATATCGTATTTTTAAAAATTTTGCATAACACTCAGAATATTTAAAATTGCATTTATGTTCATATAAATGTTTCTGTGTATAATAATTTGAAAAATATTTTATATGAATATGTAATAATTATACGAATATGTAACTTTATAAATTAACCTACATATGAAAAAAATTTTTTTGGGAAAATAGCATATGTCAAATAGATATATAAATGTAAGAAATTTAATGAAGATCGTAGTATATATTTGGAATGAATAGGAATAGTTGGAAAAATATATTAAAACCGAGAAAATTTAATTTACAACTTTATGACAATAGTTTTATTTAACTGTTTTTAATTGGAGATTTTAATAAATGACTACATATATATATGCAGTTTCCTATTAACGATATTGTAATATTTTCTGGATTCACTGAATATTCGAGAGAGGAGAGGAGAAACCCAGATAAACAAGTCCTAGCTTTCATATTTTCACCACAGTGGTTAATTGCGTCTACGTCCGACTTGTTTAAAAGTGACATTGTCGCGACTAATTAAGTTTACGCTTCTTTATGTGCGCGGAAAGGTGTTCCCAGCGGATTTTTCGTTTGTGATGAAGTTTTAAAAATACTAATGCGTCTGAGCGCGACAAATAGTAGTATTTATATTATGATAAATTATTATTCCGTTCGTCGCATTTAATAAATGAATCGCATTCACGATAGATATGTGAATGTAGCAATTATTTAATTTTAATATTTTTAAACATTACAACGTATAAACATATAAAATTATTATACGTTTTAAATTAGTTATTTGTATTCTGTAATGATACATTGTTGTAGTTTGATAGCTTTCATTGTACAAGCATTAGAGAATCATATTATTATATGATACTCGTGAAGTTTATTATAAACGTATTATAAACGTATTATTATAAACGTATTTTTAGTAACACGTGCAACGAGAAATTACGCTGTAAACGTAGATTCAAAAGCGTAAATATACTGCAATGAACGCAAATAAGCACACTTTCACAAGTGAGCACCTTTTGCATATTTTGAATTAAATCTTGCATGAAATGTAAAGACCAATTAAGAACTGAAATAGTCCGCAAATTTCTGCGGCCACGCTGTACGCCTTTTAATAAAGAATCCATTTATACCGGCACTGCATGTGATGCATAATATAATATGATTATTAAATACCTAACTATAGTTCGGGTCGTAGATATGTGCGATATTTATGCACACTGCTGCTGAAGCTGTAAAATTATCACGGCGATAGTCCTCATTTATGATCACGTTTCTCGAGAGTACCGCACGTTCGCGATTAATCGAATATTATAATATCGAGGTGAAAATTTTCAACGAGTAACTACCAAAACGTGCGCGCTAAAATTATGAAAATATATGGTAATAGTGATTTTGATTGCAATTAGTCGCATTTGATTCGTTATTTTGATTTCATATTTGTGAACGCGTCTCATAAAAACACATGTACGCACATACAGATATATATTCGCTCATTACGAAGATATCTTTGTTATTCGGATGAACAAAATGTCGATAAAACACGACGTATTTTAATTTCTTTCAACATCTGGATTTGTCTAAAGATTAGGCATAATAGCATAGGCTGCATTGTTCACTCAACATTTGCTAATTGTTCTGGAAATATTCGAATGAGATTCATGAGATTCATGAAGAATGTTAAATCCAATGTAAAGTGCTTTCGCCCGTTCGCTTATGTAAATTTGAATTGTCCTGTGGAAATGTGCTCGCATAAACGTAATACAATTATTCGTGATAAGAATGTTGGCAGCAGAGACATTATTATATTATTAAGATTTCCAAGGAAAATCAAGAAGTAGTAAAATTAACGAAATTGCCTGTGGCAATTGTTATATATATATATAGTCCTCTCGGCTATGATGCGCTATATATATACGATATTCTAGCCAAACTCTTATTAAGACCTCTTACTCTGTACTTCATTCACTCATCCCTATAGCGACTGGACGTTTCAAGAATGAAGCGATAATCTAGGATCTATGTCAAGAGATAATTCTCGTCTCTATTGTTACAATGCATATTCATCTCACGACCGTCTCGTAAGACATCGGATATACGTGGAAAAATAATAGTCTGTCAGTCTTAGAAATAAGTTCGTGAGTCACAACTCAGCTGTAATAGTGCTACGTAAATCTAGCATTAACTTTCTTTAGGCGTAATATTGTTCTTAGCTATCGTTTTCGTTGAATGTTAATGCGCTTCTCAAGCCAACTTTGTAACTTTAATAACTTCCAAAACAGTAAACCGAACCTGGCACATCTGTTGTAGAATGAGAATCCATGGTGCGAGGAGTCGAAAATCCGTAAGACAAAAATTAAGTTTGATTCGGAAGTTAGGTATAAACTTTGCGGAACAGTTTGAATTCATTAAAAGTTATTTCCCGTATCAGCGGACACACACGTGTCTTTAAATCTTTAAGATAAATTTGGAGCGATTTAAGAGAAAGTTAGCGAATGCAAAATTGGGGGAACATAAAATATAGCGTTCAAGATGTTTGCTGCTTTTAAGATGTTTGTAGGTATTTTTATTTTCCTTGACATGTACAACAGCAATAGGGTACAATTTTTTCGCCAGCATATCATGAGTATATCTAAAGCTATCTGAATTTTCCTGAGAGTATGTTACGTGAAATGAAATGTTATAATAAATCACTGTCGAGACATAGCACTCTTTGTGCGAACGCCTGCAACTAAAGTATCTTCTTTTTCTGTATCTTAAGTGCGGAGTAGCTTTCACAGATACTGATTTAGAGAATTTATTTTATCACTTGATTTATTATATATTATAAAACACAATTGAAGCCTCATTGGAAAACATATAACTATTTTAAAATAATTAAAACTAATTTTTTTTTAAAAACAATTACAAATTATACTTTTAGATTAAAAAGACTTATATAAATACTTCTGGGATTGTTTAAATATATAATAACGTAAAATAAAAATATGGGTGAGATGTTTTAGGATTATATACTTCCTATGAGTTATCTTAGAGCTGAATTTAGGAGAAAGGCAAGAGAGACTGTTAGTAAGACAGATCTTAGCTAGTAAGACTACTACTACTAGTGTAACTCCATTAGACGTAAAAGAGTCTTGCCACCACGAAGTAGTTACATCGATAATCGAGAGCAGACCTGGTGTGCGTGGTCTAAAGAATTACTATGGTCGTAAAAGGTCGTACAACGATCTTAGATGTTCATCTCTCTAGAACCAAGAGTTCGCCGTTTGACAATCGACTTTTTCTATGGGGGTTAAATAAGGGTCGAAGGGTTTTTGTAATAGTAGTTCAAATAATGTTCTGAAAGGCGACATGAGAAATTTTACTTGTAACGGCATAATAAAGAATTTTCTAGAAAAAAAAAAGAATGTGTGAGCTATTAGAATCAAAAAGTTCCTGGAAGCAAATATCAATATTAATTTTTAATTAAATTTTACTTTGTAGTTACACGCAATGAGAAAAAGTCATCTGTTTTTGCGTGTTTGACAATGCAATTATTTTTACTGTTTGTATGTACAAATGTATAAAATAACGCAAAAAGTTTAAATTATTTTATAACTTTGTATTCGGAAAAAGATCAGAGAGAAAGAGAAAGAAAGAGAGGAAGAGAAAAAGAGAGGATATTAAACAACATGAGTAAAAAAGAAACAAATTCAGCATCCTGGTTTAATCATAGCAAAAAAATAGGAGATGCGGACATATGGGAAAATTGGAACGTTATTTTAGTATTACTCTCTCTCTCTCTCTCTCTCTCTCTCTCTCTCTCTCTCTCTCTCTCTCTCTCTCTCTCTCTCTCTCTCTCTCTCTCTCTCTCTCTCTTTCTCTTTGTGTTAAACTAATATTAACTACACGGTTAAGCCGGTTTACATTGTTTTTGCTTACTTAGCCAATATGTGTCAGTATGACTTAACATTAACATGAAAAGTTATTGCTTTGTCTCGGATAATGAGCTCATAAGATGGAAATATTTTCTAATTAGTCGCGAAAATTAGACAAGCTTCATGCATTTTGCGCAATTGAGATTGTACTTACCCCCGAGTTAAACTTTGCTATTCAACGTTGTCATTCTCCTTTTGCGCTGGAGCACTATTCAGTCGGTCTCATGATATAAATAGATATTTTATACTGGTTAAATGTGCGAATAAGCCAAGTTTTTTATCTCGGGAAAAACCATCGGGAAAGATATCATTGTCGAAAGAATTCTCCAGGCAAGCACTATCAAACGTACTGGAAGAAGCAAACAGGAATTCGAGATATATTGCCTTGGCAGTGCCAACTTGTGCAAATTGAAATCGATTGAATCTCCGATCGCCGCGAAAAAAGCCTCGAAAAAAAAGAAAATTACGAATTTCTCGCGAATATAATTAAATATTTCTTAAAATATGGAATTATATCACGAAACATCCGATTGTTCATACAAAACCTGAATTCATCGATTGCTTTCAAAATATGCTTTCTTATCAGATAAAATTAATTTTTTTAACCAATATAATTTATGCACCACATTATTACAACATTCTTTATCGCGCATATAATAATGATTTGAAAACTATTTTAAACGATTTGAGAAGCGTAAAATAAATGACGATACTGCAAAAGTCCTCCGCAAAGTCGTGTGATTGCAATTAGTGAACTTCAAGATGATAGCTCATAGTCGACATTCCGTTCATTCGAAGTTTCTACGATCAGACGACGTGGAATCTTCCCTAATATATGCAGTTTTCTAAGTTTCGTCAAGTTCCGATTTATAAGCGAGCGATTATAAATTTAGCGATTATAAATTTTAACACTTCAAGGGAGTGATGGATTTTAGATTCGTGCCAGCTTAAATAGTTTCCGATCTGATTCGGGCAAACACAAAACGCTAAGTTCGACACGTTTTAGATCGAGCAGCGAAACGCTTCCCTCGTGGAGGATTTTCCCTACGTAAGGATGACGCGATTTTCAAGCACGATGCGAGATAGGGTCCAACCGAATGTAGCTACGCGCGTATACTGAAGGAACTTGTGGAGCGAGGGCGCCGGCTTGAACCGAACCAACCCCTCTTCCCAGCATCCCATGCGGCGCGCGTTCTCTTATCGGGCACTCGGGATGATGGGACTTTTGGCCGATAATATCATGAGTTGTTGAGGGAAATGCGCGACAATCGACGGATGATTGTCAGTAGGAGGGTTGGCTTTGCAGGTTCGCACCGGTTAATTGTCCCGACAGCTTTGATTCTCTATACCATGCCGAGAGGAGAGATTTAATTATTCGCGCCTATTCGCGCCTATTTGCTCCTATTTGCGCCTATTAGGCTAATTAGACTTTGCCACGGAGACAACGCGATCCTCTTTTGATGTATCGACGTTACGAATATATCGAGATGTGTATTTCTTGATTTATTGCATAGATAATTTATTGTAGATTTTTATATAAATATGAAAAATAACTTAAATTATATTATATTATATTATATTATATTTTATTTTATTTTTTTTATTATTTAAATGCGCTCGATCAATTAGAACTTAAACGCAGATTAGAAAAATCCTTGATTATTTATATGTCGCAATAATGTTTATACTTTTTATAACATCGAATTGATCGAACTAGAGTAAAAGAAAGAAGTAATAGCCCTTGTAAAAAAAGAAGTAATAGTCGGGTTGGTGAAAAATAAAAATTTTAAGAGTCAAAAACCAAGTGCAACTGCCACAGTCAGAACGAGTTTAGGACGTTTCTGAAATAATTTATATGGCACATTTCGACTGTATCTTGATAGTGCGCAATCGAAAATGATATCCTTGACATATTTTGGAATTCTGGCTATGTAAAATAAAATATGGCATCAATATATTTCTGAAAATATATTTAAAGTTTTTTTTATACTCAATATAATGCGCTAAGCCAGTTTACTTATAGCGGACTTGTACATAAAATTTTACGAAATATCATGTCTTACTTATCTTAAAAATTCTGTTTCAAAGCACGCAAAGAGATCTGCAAACGCTGCAAAGCATCCATCAAAATATTCATATATTTGAGAAAAATGTAACGAAGACATAAATTTTTAAAATTATTCAGTAAATAGAATTCAGTGATATTATGTTAAACATGAAGATGATATCAGCATAGTTAAGAGCTTAATAGAATACTTTATTTTTTACAGCATTTTTTGTATAAGTATTGAATCCCGTGGCATTTTAATAAACTTGGAAAGCTGGATCTGTAGCAGATTAAAAAAATATTACAATATTTATTTGCTGCATGTATTAAAATACAACATTTCTGAGATTCCGCCAAGTATCTTCATTTTTATTTGATGATATTTGTAATATTTGATTACAAACTATTGCGAAGAACTAATTTAATAATTCATATGCTTGTGAGAGATTTATTTTCTATTGCTGCAATACGAGAGCGCAACTGCATCATTATTAATCGATCTTCCTAAGAAAAAGATAAAAGTTTATATAACGTATCGTGAAGATTTGGTGAACCTGCATCCATTTGTACGATTAAATATTACCTGCTTACGATGTAATTCCTGTAATTGATAATAAGATTAATTGCTTATATAACGACGATGTTGCAACAGTTGATTACTATCTACTACTACTATCATAGGTGATATATTAGACAATGAATTTTCTTTAGATTGTAAATGATAGAAGTCAAGAAGGAATTACTTTTAATGTTTGAATTAAAGATAGATATAATAAAAAAATCTAGAAAATATTTAATTAAACAAATGTTTACTTAATTTTTATTAGATTAGACTTTATTTCAACGAAATTTTCTTAGTAATAAGTAATAACAGAAATATTTAAGAGAAAAATAATCTATTTTTATAGAGAAAAAAAATTGAGAGAATGTACATTTATTTAAAACTTTATAATCGTGGAAAAATAAATTTTAATATATCCAGTATATATGTTTCACGTCATTCACATCATAGAAATACCTTTGTGCGCTTTGAAGTCATTGGCTGATAAAGGACAAGTGATATTTGTGAGTATGATTAAATCTCTCAATCATAAAATATATACATATGTGGGAATAAAGATCAAAGGTTATCGGCATCGATAGGTCTCTCTATATCTTTCAATCTATAGAGACTTTTGAGCATATGATTGTCTGCAACTTTTACCGTTGCGAGGAATTGCGTGTTGGAATTCTTTCAAGCATTATAAGAAATGATTACTCGTAAAGATTTATGGCGCGAGCGGGATATTTTTATTTCTCTCTACGACCACGCAATGTAGCATATTTGTGCGCACACCTTGCGGCGAATTTCGTTCAACAGTATCATTCCGTCAGTTGCAATAAGTTTTGAAGTCATATTACAATAAATAGTCGTGACTGCACGGCGAAAATAATGGGCGATTTATTATTACTGCGGATTTCTTGTTTCTAGTTTATAAGGTATGATACACTAACATTCGTTCGTTATACAAACAAAAATTATGTACACTGGCTGTCATTTTTTTTCGCGAATGTTACCATTCGTTCAGGTGCAAACGCAAGGCAATTTTAAAACTTCGGAATTGTGAATGGAAAAAAAGCAAACGAGATCAAGCGCATATCAGATTGTCAGTTAGAGCTGACCTTTGCATGCAGGTTTTGCATATCGCGGAAAACTGTTCTCTCAGTTGAATTTTACTTTTGTCGGGTAGTACTTCCCCTTTATCACCAATAAAAAAGAGCGGTCCTCCGTATCATAAAACACGAGGCAATACAAAAATCCTCCCTTTTCTATGCCTGTCGTGTTCATAAATCGCGGCAAAAGTGTTAGCATTAATCTCGATGTAATACAGACACAAATAAAGAATTTCCATCGAACGAGAAATCCGCGTAATTTATGTATCTTACCTACAATGGCAACGTGCGGTCCTGAGAGTACTTCTAATCGTAGGAATTAATTACAGCAAAAAGTTGCGAGTGGAAGTTCGCCGAAGCCCTTGCTACACATTAAAGGCCATTGCTTTGTGGTAACTTTTCTCTCCTCGCTTCGACGATAAAGAACCTCCGTGAACTTCGTGAACTCGTTTGCTACCTCAGCGGGGCTATTTGGTTACAGTGAAACATTTACAATGTTACTGCGTACTTCTCCATATTTTTGTACGTATTTCCCTAAATGAACTCTGGCTTAAACAAACTTTATCGCGTTTTATTTATCAAAAAGCATTTATGACAGAGTTTAACAGAGCTACATAATTTCTTCTAAAAATATAAAATTTATTTATTTGCAATGAATTTATTAGTTATTTACTAGTTTTGTACAATCGATATTTTACAGAGAATGATTAATTAATAATTTTTTTTATTAATGATAATGATGAGAATAGTATTTTCAATAATTATTGAAATGAATGATACATGCAAGATATATTAATATGTACCAAAGATTATTTTTTTTTATATACAACTTCTCTTATTATATATAACCTTTCAAAAATCTACCTTATGCGAAAGCCTTGAAATATTTTATTTTTATTACTATGTATGAGACTTTTATGTTTCTTTCATGTTATATTTATATGAGAAATATGTCAAGAAGAAAGAATGCAACAAATATATGTCCGGAGTAACGTACAAATTTTCATTGTGTGGAGTGCCGAAATGTCAGGCTGTCAGGGTTCGTTTAACTGTGCTAATAATGCTGTTCGAATGAATTTTTGAATTGAATCATTTTTCCCTCCGGAAACAATGTTACACCTTTGATGGACGCGAAGGCGAAATGCCCGGTTTACGGCGATGATTCATCGTAGGTAAGGTTTATCCGGTGTTCCGCGCAGAGTCACGAGCATTTCTCAAGAGAACTCGAGATAAATGGAACAAGTTTCTCCGGGAGTGCACAGGCTACGTTATTTCTCATATTACAGGGGGAAAGGGCGCCTCCGTCTTCGTCGCGTTGTTATCGCACTTCCGCTGCCCTTGAATGCATAGTTGAATGAGGCTTTTACGAAGTATTGGAAGATAATTGTCGTGATCGTTAGTATTTTCGCGTTCCTTTGTCGCTCGCGTATTCGAGGTGAAGTCTATCTAAGATTAGATTTACCGAAGTTGGATCGGGGTAACCAATAGCGATTTTACGTTAGTTTGTTCTTTCGAATATTATTTGACCTGGATTCCAATACTCGAATCTGATTTATTTTCTGTGTGAATAAACTCTCTATTTATCTATCTATCTATCTGTACAAATCGATCTATGTACATATCTGTTTCGTCATTTATATTGTTAGTTTAATGTCTAAATTATTCAATAAAAGCATGGCAAACGTTTACAAATCGTCCGAAATTCGATATATTAAAATAAATATTCGATATAGGTCATTAAATAAGTATTAGTTACGTAGATTAGCCAAGTTTTCATCGGAAATTTTTCTATCACGAGTGACCGATTTTAATTTTTGCACGCGAATATCAAAAACTGAAGCACCGAATAATGGTTTATAGATTTTGTACTAATTATGAGATAGGTATTTATTGGCGAGAGAAAATGAAATCCCAGTATCGTTTGTAGAATATTATTCCGAATAATTCTCGTGGGATGTCGTGATATAACTTAAAGGTAATTTAATCTATATATCTATGTTTTCAAGTATGAAGTACCATAGATGGTCTTCAGCATCTGATATTACTGTCTCATTCGCAATACGAATATTGATAGGGAACTGTAATCGGATAGGGTCGTGTCATTAGCTTCAAAGTTATATTGGCGTCTGTATTGTTAAAATTTCGCGGAGTAAAATTCAAACGCATTTTATTTCACGGAAGTAAAACTCAAATGCACTTTATTTCATGTCGTATCTTGTTAGCTTGTATCTCTTAAAAAAAAGAGAGAAAAAATAAAGTAAAGTTTACAGTCGTAACCGACGAATATAGTGAGTAGACGAAACGGCTAATGGCGCAAGCGTGGCCTCGTAATGTAAAGTTACGACAAATGCAATGACGACCTAACGTTCTAACGAGAATTCAGCCGTACAATTCGAATTCATTCGGTGTTCGTTTGTTGGTGGCGGAATTTCCTTCGGGAAATCGAAATGCGCTTTAAAACCCTGATACGTCAGGGAATATTAGAACCGAGATGGAATCAGATAACGAGTCATAAGGAATAATGACATTGCGAGCTCCGCCGTGGTTTTATCTCCATCGTAAATGGATTAAAACAATTTGACGGAACTCTGAATTGCGTCATGCGATACGTCTCGCCTTGTCGGCGATTGTGCTCTTTCCTTCTCCGTCCCTCATGGCAGTTCGGAAACTGCGGGAATTGGCTTCATGCTTGATTCCCGCTTGCCAAATTTATTACACTTTTAAATCGGCGAACTTATTGGCAAAAGTTTGCGTGAAATTTATGATAGTGCGCATTCCGCATTATGAACGACATTAACTTTCATATTTGTAGGACAGTGAATGAAGCGCGCTCCGGTTTTCTAATTTGACTCGGGCGATAAGTAAATGAACTTCTGGCAGCTCGTTTCTAGCTGTAATCCCTTGATAGAACATTTCTCGATGCATTTTCCAAGCACGTCATTATACATTGCTAGAAGGAAATAGAGGGCGAAATACAAGCACCAATTATCGACTCTGTTAAACGGGGCGTGCGGTAGCTGTTTAAATTTTACGGCGAGAGGGAAAACCTTGTTAGTCACGTATACATGTGGACGGTTTAATGTTAAATTTATACCTTGATTTTGTAGGGTACGTGATTGTTAGATGTTACATTGAACAATGGTAATCTCGTGCGACAATTGTTTGTTCCAACTTGCCTCTATGAGTTTATTATCCAGACCATATTACGCGTGCACGGTGTATGAATTTTTAAAAACAGCTCCGTGAACTGTTTTCAGATATAAAATACGATGCAGCGGAGCGACATAAACGTGTTTTAAAAATAACGTTAAAGTACTTATTTTCTCTACGTAATGTTTTAACGAGGACAACTCATAAAAGAGATTATATAATTTTTTTATTTATTAATCGTTCCTTGATGTAATGTATTATATTCTCCCCTGTTTTGGTCTCGTTCAGCTTAAAAAAAATACGAATCTCTAATAAAGAGAAGAAAAATAAAAAAAATATCTTTTAAAATATCTCAAGATAAACGTATTTTTCGGACATGTCTTATATATGACTATAAATGTTTCTTTTGGTATTTTTTAATTTTTTATTGTAATAAGGTACTTGTTTTGTCTTTTACATATATACAAACATTATTTCTTAAAGTTTTCCTTAAAATGGCACACAAGTTTCGGATCTGATATATTCATGACATTGTTGACCTAGAATTCTTAAAGTCGTCATTCTCTTCAAGTCGTGAATTTTGCCATTTCGATGTATGATGACACTTTTTAAAAGTAATCGTTGCGCAATTTTAACATACGTATTCCAACGGGCATCAATAAAATGGACTCAAAGTTTTCTTCTCTTCGTATTTCGACTTCCATAATGTCACTCATTTAAAATTCCGATGACCGTTTTCCGTTTTGACAATTTATTCCGAGTGTAACGAAAAATATTTTTATTCTACCGATATTTTAAACGTGTCTAACTTGAAGTCTTATATTGCAGCACAAAAGACTTTCTTGTATTAAAAATTGTAATAAAAATAAAATTGTAATAAAAATAATAATATCTTTGATAAAAATTGTTGTCGTGTAATTGTAAAAGTATAAGCACGTAAAAACAGACTATGGATGGTGCACAAATCTACTAAATTTAACCGAATGACATTACATACTACGATGATTAATGACATTATGTTATTTCTGTCATAATCGATTTCACGCTGGAAAGAATTTTAAGTTTTATCTTCACAATTTCTTTGAGAGACCTTTCTTTGAAAATTATAACAAATAGGATAATTATAAAATATCAAAGTTACAAAAATTATAAAGTACGTATAAACGTAGATAAATGTAAAGTATAGAATTAATTATTTAGTTAACGAGAAAAAAACAAAGTGTTAAAGAGTGATGTAAAATGAGAAATACTGGAGTTATATGAGTTCTATCTACATTGCTATGCAAAGAATGTTTAAAAATCGAGATGCACTTTCGTTGCTTTTTGCATCGAACATTGCATTTATTGTTTTCCAGTTACCGTCTTTGTTCTCTCGCACAAAGCGGGTGAATATTACGAGTATCACGGTTATTCGATTTCAATGAAACAAGATGATTGCAGGCCTCGAAAATGTACCACGATATATTAAAGAGCGCTTACAAACCCATAAATATTACCATAAATATGGTAAAAAAATCAATAATAAATCAGGTGATCACAATTTAATTTATTTAATATTAATATCTTAGCCGTATAATTTTCTATTTCGTACTATTTTTTATTATGTTATAGTATACTTATGTCTAAACTGCAATACTATTTAAGGAATGTTGAATAGATTAAAGTAAATCTAAACTGTTGCATATTTTAAGGATATCGAATTAAAGTTACATTAATCCAAATTCTAAAATAATTCTAGCAATATTTTAAATTTTCGTGAAATTTATTGATTCCGCTTCTGAAAGAGAGAATTGGATTTGATTAAAATACAATTTATTTCTCTGTCATGATAACAGAAAATTGAAACGAAGAAAGGAAAAGATGCAGAACGCGTACGTTCTTATGCCTCACCACGTGTAAAATGCCGAAACTCAAAGTTATTGTACGCAACGTAATTATTCTCGTACGGCTTTCGTAATTGCGTCTATACATCTCCAAGATATACAATGCAGCCGTGGTCTCTATCCTCCCGTTCGCTGTTAATGAATGTTACGGCCTCAATGAAGCGAGTCTCGTCCTCGGACGCGCAATTCCGGTTGATATGCAACATATGCATGCCACGAAATACGCCGCAGCACATATTCCGTCCATGTGCTCTCTTACCCTTGTAATTGAAGTGTCCTGACGCTGTCACGACGGCTATATCTCAAAATAATCCCAAATATTTTCCGATGTTTCACAGTTTATTTCTGACAGCTACGCTTATATGCGCATCATCGATATCCTTTTGCAAACACGCGAAACCACCTGTTTGACAATTTAATTTATCGGATATTGCCAATTAAACGTGAATTTACACACTAATATAATTTGAATACACAAATTTTAATTTTAATACAATATAAGATAAATAAATAAATTTCCATTTGAAATATCGAAATATTTATTATGTTTTCTATTCGATATTACGACTTAATTAATATCCGAAATATAGTTAAGTGATTTAGAGAGCAATTTATACAATAAATTTTAACAATTCGAAGAGATCAATGCTGGATTTATACGATTGTCATACGCATCAGAAAATTATAGATTTTATATGATTTAATTGAAATATGATATCAGCTTATTTCATGTCTTATGTCAACGTGGATAAAAGTGGATGTAGGTGCGGTCGTAATTTATTTTCACACATAAATAGAAGCAAAAAATGTATGCTTTGCATTTTCATAAAACTGTGAAAGATACTGCGCGTTTTACTGGAATTTCCACGTAGATTGTGACATATAAATCAACCTCTTTGGTTGAAACAAATATAAATTGGGAAAAAAATTAACACTATATAAAAATACAACTCGTGAAATTTTTATTTAACAAATTTTACGTTACTTTCTCGAACATTATTTTGCACTGAAGAGAATATATTTGTTTGTATTTCTCTTGCTCTATTTTGTTGACATACAATAAAAATTGTAAATTTAGTTAAGGTATTGTAATTTAGATTTAAACATCGCAAACGATGGTATTGTTTTATATTGAAGTTAAAATATTTCGATATTACTAAATCCCATACACAATAACGTATATAACAAAGAAGGAAATTTGAAATACAATAATCTATAAAAATAAGCGAGATGCAAATGTTTTTAAGTTACAAATCCTTCGTATTTTACAGAATACAGAATCTCGTAGCAAAATTAATATTACGGAAGATAAAAATCATATTTACGATTGTGATGCAGACGTAAAATGAAATTCGTAGAGCACTTTGACTAATAAAAATTCTTTTTTTTTGGGGAGGGAACGCGATCTAAAGGACATGTTTACAAATCACTCTTTTATAAAGCTTTCTACACTTTGACTGTGCGAGGCATTTGTCTGTTATTTCAATTTCGATGTTCAGTGTCAGACATTTCTGTCGAATATTCTGAAACAGTTTCAACGGAGGCTGTTTAGTGTAGCGTGAATATACGATGCAATGGATTTACGACGCGACGTACATAAGCGGATTTTATGTATGAACATTAATTACGATTAATTACCGTACAAGTTGTCGTCATAATAACATGTAAATGTAATTATCGACAAGTGCGATTTATAAAAGTAATAAATATAATTTTTTTTTAATTTGTTAAGACGATATATGTTATTTTGTATTTGCAAGAAAAATTACATTTCCTCGCGTATTATGTAATCCACTTTTATTAAAACTCATCACAAAAATGATTATTGTTCTATCGATAACCACGATATAGCAAAAACAAACAAAAAGTATCGGACATTTGATGAAATCGTGAGTACGTGAGAAAGAGATTCTTTCTCTGAGTTTGATAGAACGATCTACGATTAATCCTGACGATTAATGAACATAGTTGGGCAAAATTCGTTAGTTTCTTTCTCATCGTGAAGCTTTGCTCCATTTAAGTTTATTGACCAAAAGCAATATCTTACCTCAACTTTAAGAGATTTTCTTTTTATAAAAAATATTAACTTAAAGTTTATATTAAAAAGTTAGATGGTCTTGCTATTATGAAAATCTATGGGACACTCTGTGGCAGCCACCGGACAATGATGTTCGCTGATATTCTGTCCATGTCCATTGCAACGACGCTATCGTAATTAATTACTATAATTTCTGTATGTCTCTCGTGCGTGATTTCCAGCTCACATGGATGATCACCGTTTGGGTAGTCGGTGTATCCGTTTCTGGTCAAAGCTGCCATCAGAATGTCGCCTATTGCGTATCATCGAAATCAACTTCATCAAATCCGTTGCAGTGGATTATGTTCCATCGATTAAATCTAATATAGGTCAGATTGATGCTCCCGATGTCAGTGGCAGAATCCGCATTCGCACCGATTCTATAGCCACTGTTTTACTTTCTGATTTGATCTTTCGTACAATTTATAGTGTTTGGTCGTGCCATTCGGTGTTTTCTCTTCACTCCGGTTTTAATCTCCATTTCAGTGTCACGCTTGATGGATAATCCATGAATGATACTATCGGCTGTTTGCGAGAATTCTTTACGGGTTGAGAGGTTTGTTGCTGGGAAATGTAAGTGTCACCGCTTCGAGATTACCTAAGTCGTTATAGATAGATCACGCTATAGAGCACGCACAGATCAATGAGACCGTATCCATGGCGGATAATGGACGATGGTTAATCGAGATGATTACATGGATTAAAGGCTTTACGATTAAGATACGACGGCGTGACACGTGCCTCGCACGCAGAGAGCCGACATGGATTCGATAAACATCACGATCCCTACTAACGCGAGATTTCGTCGTCGATATATCATACCTGGAGGTGGGTGTAGGTGGGGAATAGCATTCCAACCACATCTGATCGTTCGGCTCATTCGCGGTTTATCTCCAGTATCGTTTTATTCGCCGTGCTTAAATAAACGTACACGAACACTTCCCGTGTATATGCTGATAATCAAGAAAGATCCGAGTCTCAACTTCGCGGAATTAGAAAACCTTAATCGAGACAGGTAAGCCTATGAATATTGAGATAAACGCCAGGATATAGGGGAGCAAACAGTGCGTAGGTTGTTCCTAATTAAATATCTTTTGTATATAAATCCATAAAATCCAGTAAATAAATTATTAAAGGGCAGATAGGACTTGAGTTATATTCCATTATCTCTACATGATTTTAGAGCGAAGTAATATTAAATAATAAAATTAAAAATTTATAACGAAATATAATTTCTTAAATTATGATTATATTGACTTAATCTATATTACGTTGTTTAATTTATATATTCGCAATAACATATATATAATATGTATAAATTGAGACACAAATAATTTTATAAAATTTAAAAAATATTTGTTAATTATGGATATGTAAATTGATATGTAAAATGTAACTTGACATTTATTAATAATTTTGCTTAAAAGAAAATATTGTTTACATAAACAAATTATATGTTACTCGTGGAAAATTTTTTATTCATTTGTTATCTGGGTCGAGTCATTATGTAAAAAGAATATTCATAATAAACAAACAAATAATTGTGTGTTGAAATGGCTTGCAAATTCGATATTATGATATTAAAACGATCAATGTGTAGGTACATAGAAATCGTAGGTAGATAGAAAATACGTTGAATGTAAAACGTACGTTTGTCATAATTTATGTAGGAACGCTTAATAAAAGATCCTAAGCTTTCATAAGAGTGATTGCAATCTGACTACTTGTGATATTTCTGCTTTATGTCAAGCGTAGAATATTTCATCACCGTATTGCTGTACGTAAGCCCCGTCCAATAGAGTTACATAGTTGTGCGCGACGGTGGCCGTAGAGTGAAAATGACAAGTGATGTGCCAGGGGCTAATTGAACTGCACGACGTAGGTATAGACGCGTACGCGAGGATGTCCTCATTTTCGTAGACTACTACTCTTCGATATAGCGGATTTATTGCATAATTGATAAATCACACGTCGTTATAATAAGTGATAATGCGTTTATTAATTAAACATTATAGCGGGGTACTGCGGTCGGGGTCAACGCCGTGATTACAGGATTTCCAATTGAAAGTGGTGTTAGAGTACAAATAGATTTAAGCATCGCTTAGTACGAGATCTAATTAGCATCTATTAGCATTGTGTTTTTCACGATTGAATATTTAAATAGAATGATAGCCATAATATTCCATCTAGCTGCAAGTTATGTTAATATCGTGAATTTTAATTGCGTATATCCTCGACTTCCTTGTTCACTCGAGATCGCGTTACCTGTTTTTAAAACAATTATCGAACATTTATCTGTTTGCGAAATAATTATTTATATACAACATCGTAACATTTGATTCTTAAGCGAAGCAAAGACAGATCCATCGAGTAGATTTTGTATCCAATTAATTTTCAGCATGGGCAAGCCATTCTGCAAATTTATTTTTATATTCATAATAATTGATCGAAAAAAATAAATGAAATTATCTTCTTCTACGCCCGAATATACATACATACATGTATATATTTGATAAACACTCGTACGAATGGCAATTGACAATTTTTAGTTTCTATATTACACATTTTCATCAAACTCTATTTGCGCAATGTTGTTTGACATTTCATCGATAAACTTGTTTTGCGTGGCATTGTTGTGTGCATCTATTATCGGGTGACAGAGTTTCAGTTTGATCGTCACGTTACATATTTCGAGCGACGTACGCAATCGGAATGGAAATTGTATCAGGTACGATTAAGGTGCGTGAAAGGAGCAAGGATACCCATTTCCAAGGACAGATTGTCTATCGATGCTGGGGAAATCATGTATCTCGTCGTCACGCCAAAATGATCATGCATTCCTTTCGAATTGGCAGTTTTATCATTGCGTTCCTACGTGAAGAGCGCTATATAGATCGAAACAGACATTACGATATATTAGCGTAGAAAAAAACGTGCAAGAGTAAAATATTCGTATTCATGAAACAATATTAATTTCTCACACATTACAGCACTGTAACATGCCGTTTCCTCGTTTTCTGATTACCTTGAAATCGTTATTGGCTTTACGCAAATCGCGTGGCTGGTGACCATTATGAGAATAAATGTGAATATTCAGTTTTAATTTTAATTTCACAGTCCATAATTATTTGCCGATATCTTCCGATGGAAATCGCGACTGAGATAACGAGATCTATTAATTCAGTCGATTTGAAATATATGTTGCAGATAAAAAATATTCAAGTTGACAAATTGGAACTTCTGTCGCTATAAATGAACTAACATTAGCTATCGTTGTCTTTTCTATAAATCCATTTCTGTATTTTTCTTTTTCGAAGGACGAACGATAAATATATAAGACATTCAATTTTACAAGTAAGTTTGTCGATCGATGGAATCGATATATTCGGCATCCAACGAAAATTAACAACATATTGACTAAATCATGACGATTGAAACCGAGACGTCAAGACAATTTATAAAGGTGCCAACTCCGAACTTTGAGCCGTCGGAACGATGGCGGATAATGAAGAACATTTTAGCGATTGGTTGCGCTTTCATGGTGAATTTCACTGCTTTCATGGGGGCTACAAATTTACAGAGTTCGATAAATGCAGATCAATCGTTAGGCACATTCACTTTGTCGGCGATTTACGGCAGTCTGCTCTTCAGTAACATTTTTTTACCCGCCTTAATCATAAGGTAAGATTTACGATAACTCATACATTCTTATCATTAGTATTGTTTAGCCTAATTTTGTGTAAGTCGAAAAATCTAGCGTGACTTGACACGATTCAGAGGCCATTCAGCTATATTTTTCGGTAAAATCGCTATGATTGGCATGATAAATATTTCGCATCTCGATCTAAATGGAGAAGTGTCGTCAGATCTGATTGCCATTACTTGTTGTCGCGGTAGAACGAATAGAAAATTTTTGGGAAATATATATCGTCAATCATCCTAGAGCGTTCGATGTGTTTTCTATATATGTGAAATACATGTGGGCGACCACAGCTCTACTGCACACAATCCCACAATACTAAACTTTATTACGCGTTGTCGTTTTCACCTTGGCCCGGAATTACACGGAACCCCCACGGGTTCCATGCGAGCATTAAACAAGAGTAAAATGAACATGTAGGTATCTATATGAGGATTCCAGGGTGCCATCTTCTTCAGTCCACGTAAAATGAAACATTTTTAGTGTGCTTAATAAAAATATTAACGCCTAATAAAAATGCTTTTTTAGATCATTATATTAATCTTGATAATTATTAAATTTAATACGAAATATTTTGATACGATTTTTAAGTAATGATTTAATTAATTCACAAATGTTTTCATTATCTAGTTTTTGAATGTAAATAGATTTAATCGACAGACGAACATAATATACAATTTTTTAATTTTTATTTATGTAATTCTGTTCTAGTTGGTTAGGATGTAAGTGGACAATGTCAGTTTCTATAGTGGCTTATATGCCTTTTATAGCTTCGCAATTTTATCCTAAATTCTATACCATGATTCCCGCTGGATTATTGGTCGGATTAGGTGGAGGGCCACTTTGGTGCGCAAAATGTACTTATTTAACTGTAGCAGCAGAAGCCTACTCGACTGTATCAGATATAGCAGCAGACGTCCTTGTCACAAGATTCTTTGGTCTTTTCTTCATGTTCTATCAAATGGCACAAGTGTGGGGGAACCTTATATCTTCGGCAGGTAGGTTGTCATATACGGCTTATGCAACGATCAAATTTATATTTTAGAGATTAGATGTGTTGAGAAAGTTATTTGCATAGTATACATATTTTAATCTTGACTTTGATGTTTAGTCTGTTAATTCTCATGACGTAAGAATAAATTGCTGCAATTCTGTTATAACGTATGTAAAATAGAAGCATGTTGTGTATTTTAAATAATTAATTAACGTATGAAATATGTCTGACTTTTTTTTCCAAACAAACGTATGACGTATGTATTTTTGTCGGAAATTCCAATACAATTCTTACAATTATTTAATTATCTTCTAATTTATGACTAAATGAAAATAGAAATAAGTAATCGTAGATAAACAAAATTATAAACTGAAACGAAATAACGCAAAATGAACTTTGCTATAATCTTGCGAAAGCATATATGAATGCATCACTGCTAAGCTATAAAAATGCGAGCGCTGATGAAAACGAAATTAAGTTGCTGCCACCGTGAATCAAGAGATTGTGAAACAACGAACACAAGCTACGTATCTAGAGGTGTCAGGCATTCTAATAGTTATATTTTATCCTATTGAATATTTTAGTATGCTTATTTGATAGGAGGATTACTAGAATAACAATTGATGAAATCTCTATCTTTGTCTTTACTTGTTTTAACTTTAATAATTTTTTAATCCAGCCACAAATTATATGCGAGCTTATTCTCATAAACATAATTTTGTTATTATTAGATATTAATTATTGTTTCTTTTATCGTAATATTTTCTTTACAATTTCAGTTCTTTCGAACGGAATCGAATATATTGTCACAAATGTGACTTTGAACAGTAGTATCGTTGCCGAAACATGCGGAGCAAATTTCTGTGGGGTGTCTGCGGAAAACGAAAATCCGAATCTGCAACCACCTCCGGTTGAACAAATATATCTCATTTCTGGGATTTATTTAAGCTGCATGATATTAGCTTGTCTAATAATTGCGTTTGCCGTCGATTCTTTAACCAGGTGTAATCCCGTGTTTACGATTGTCTAATTAGATGTCAAATATATTATAGTACATTTATATTATCCTTACTAATAATAAATTGTATTTATGTAACATATATTATAGAACGTATTGCGTAACAATTTCTTGATATTGGGATTCGCACTTTATAGATACGACAGAAACAGAGCTCGTTCGGTGAAAGGATCGTCTGGATTCAAGCTCTTGGCCGTGACATTAAAACTATTAAAAGAGAAGAATCAACTTTTAATATTACCGATAATATTATTTATTGGGGCCGAACAGGCCTTTTTATTTGCCGATTATAACGCCGTTAGTGAGCTATTTATTAAAAAAAATTAAAAACTAAAGAATTTTTGCTTATATTAATAATAACAATTTTTATTTTATTTTAAGAGGAATAATATTTAATATTTATTACAGTCGTTCGTTTCTTGCGCTTGGGGGATTAGTAACATTGGTTACGTGATGATATGTTTTGGCATTACAAATGCCATAGCTGCGCTCGCTACGGGAGCTGTCGTAAAATTAACTGGAAGAAAACCTGTGATGATTTTCGCTTTTTGTTTGCATTTGAGTCTTTTTATCTTTATGTTACACTGGAAACCGACACCTGATCAGGGTATTATCTTCTTTCTGCTATCAGGTTTATGGGGTGTGTGCGATTCGATCTGGCTAGTTCAAGTCAATGGTAAGCAAAATATATAAAATACTCAAACTCAAATATATATCCGCTATTCACAATCGCTTATTATCTAAGAATAATTTTATAGTATATACGCTTATATACATATAATGTTTACATATTGCATATTGTTAAAAATTACAAAAATATTGTTTGGTAATCATTAAGTGAAATTTTCTTCTTTATTTGTTGTATGTAAAATTGTACCAACAAACGGATAACTCTGCTGATGGTATTATACCAACAGACAGTATTTTTATCTTTGTTCTTTTTTCTGATAGAATTATATGAATAAATATATTCACAACAATTTAATATTTAATAATTAATTGCTTTCGCGATTTTCAGCATTAAGTGGTATATTATTTCCTGGTCAAGAAGAAGCAGCTTTCTCTAATTTTCGCTTGTGGGAGTCCACTGGTTCCGTGATAACGTACGTGTACAGTCCATATCTGTGCATTTATACAAAGCTGTATCTTTTAATCGGGATACTGTGTGCTGGAATGGTTGGTTACGGCATTATCGAGTGGTCAGGCATCCAGGCAAATAGAACTATTTTTAATGACAAGCCTGATATCGAATTGATGTCTAACAGAGAAAACAGCTGATAAAATACAAAAGCAAGTTTTAGTATAGGTATCATCCTTTTCAGTTGATGGAATTGTAGGAAATTATTGAAATTTTTGATACTAAGAAAATCTTTTGATATTATAAAAAGATGCCAAAAATAAAAAAAACTTTTAACAAAAAATATTTTTGATGAAAGATTTTTGAAACGCGACGAAATGTTTTTCAATTATCATTTTTGCTAATCTTATTATAAATAAAAAAAATTTGCAAAGTCTATGTACTATATGTACCTGAAATTATTAGAATAAAATAAGACAAACATTTTTTTTCGAAATGAAATATATTATACTGTTGAAGAGAGACAAGATCCAAGAAGAAATCTAGCTTGTTACAGCTTAAAACCAATTTTATATTATATACAGATAGAATTACAAAAAAAACAGGCATATGGTATATGATGATTATTTGTTTGAAAATTAAACAATTTTTAACCACGCAGAATCATAGATACGACTTTTTGTTATTTGTACCACAATATATGTTTTTATTTTATTTTTGTGGACACCTACTAAATTTTACACATTCGCTTAACGGCTAAGATTCTTGTCCTTCATTTTAAATACGTAATTTAATATTACATCGTGTGCCTAGGTGCTAACATTCAAGCTAAAGCTACGGCTGCTTAGTTTAGTTGTATACTTATGTGCTTAATTGCCGACTGTGTGCTTATTTCGTTGCCGAGATCAATTGATTCCTGCCTTCGGGCAAAGGCAGATTACCGAGTTATGTAATTTTTCCCATTTAGTTGACCGATGTTTTCCGATAGCGGCAATGTCGAATCAATTGAATCGGCGAATTGTATTTTAGCATCGTTAAATTGTTGATTGTATCGTGATTATTACCTTAACTTTGCATTTATCGTATTTACAATTCAAGTTCTGCAGTTTAGTTATATACTTTATAAAACGTAGTAGGAACTTTGGTTTCGCTGGGCAATGTTTCATGAGCAGTTTCCTCTTATTGATTCGTGACTTTATTTCGTATTTCGACATGGCTCTTTTTGGGGATGTTCATTTTTCCTTTATCAGACGTGGTTATGAAGTATCTACCCTTTTTTATTTAGCCTATTTTTAATTTACGAAAATCATCAGATAAGGCGAGCAATTCAGCTGGAAACTGCTATAAAACATTCGCCCGTGGATCTATCTTCCTTAATATGACACTCACGAATACAATTCACATTTTTTTGTAATACTCATGTTAATATTTTCGTAAGGATCTATTTGAATATTTCAATTTCACGAAGAAAATACACATGATTCTTAAACCGTCTTCGCGTTTTTATTTTTATCACTACCGCGCATTTTTCGACGCCTTTCTCTCTCTCTCTCTCTCTCTCTCTCTCTCTCTCTCTCTCTCTCTCTCTCTCTCTCTCTCTCTCTCTCTCTCTCTCTCTCTCTCTTTCCTACAGGATTAAATATAACTTCAAGAGCGGCATGTGGTATATAATCGTTTATAGCATACTTTCAAAGACGTTATTGCATTATTTAGGAAGTCACTAAAGGAATTTCATTGATCTCTAGATACAATGTGTAAATTTACAGATCTCGCGCGCATTAAAAACTCTCGATCGTTTTGTTACCGAAACTGACAGAAATATTATCATGCTCGTTATAACAGTGTATATATATGCAAGGGATGATATTATAATCAATAGAGACGATGACTTTTATTTTGTTATTTAAGCGATATTTTTATTTGCGCAACGTAACGAGCAACAACGATATTTCAGAATCCCCAATCGCAGTTTTTATTGCGCACGGAGAATTGCCACCCTTCGAGTGTTTCCATTTTGAGTATATTTTCGATTGTTCCGCCAGTGGATTAGGTATCAATTGTACGTAGCTGTTTAAATGTTCGCGCTAGCGCTTTTTTTGAAGGTAGCTTTTTAAATTTTTATTAATTATTATCCGCGCGACGATTTACATACCTCTCCGCCCGGGTTTTAATAGATCGTATTTCCGAAAAACATATATGTCCCGACAAATGTTGCAATCAAGCGACTGTAATTAATTAGAGAGGCCTGGAAGCGATTTTTTTTTTATAATTGTTTCTGACAAATGTAATTTCGATTATCGAGGCATTTATGTCAATCGATTCGTTGATGCTTACCAATTGCCGATAGTCCGTTTCGTTCGAAACTCGAAACTGGAAACTCGGTTAGTCAGTGTTCTCCAGTGGATATATATCTATGAAAATTGGAAGCACGCGACGGATTGGTACCAAATGAGAGACAACGATTTTAGATTATCAATTTTCGATATTCGACTCATGTATACATCACATTCGTAGATTAAAGCTATTTACATATATAGATGTCGTATACACCTGCGATCACAATATTCGAAGGACTTCGCTTCGATCCAGAACGACCTCTTCGTGCCAGAACGAGTTTGATAAAACGCGGCTTTTTAGCAAACGCTTTCTCTTATTTATTTTGTAACAAACCGCGAAAAGTTGTTCTCGCGTTAGAACTGTTTATTTATGCTAGAAGAAATGCGAGATTGGAATATTTCACGAAACAGATTTTTCATCATTTTCGTCCGTAGCTTGAAGCCTTTCTCATATGTTGCTCGATTGATCGGATGAAGATGTAGTCCTTCCCTATACAACGCCCTTCGACATCATCCGCACCGTATTCTTTAGAGCTTGTCTCTTGTTGCAGAACCAGATTCTTATCACCTCTCTATCGTATCCTAGTCGATGCGCTAAAGTGGTGATTTCATTACCTGTAAAAAAAGAGAAATTGAACCTTCCAATGTGTTCCAATGAAATTTCAAAGAGTGTGAGACGGCATTAAAAAGAAATTAAAAAGTTTTCCTAATCACAAAAGATTTAACGATGGGATGTAGACAGAGGGGAAAAAACTGACCAGTAGGATGGGTGTTCCTGTCAAAGTGTGCGTTCAGCAATTCCAAAGCCTGAGGCGTAAAGGAAGTCCGCCGTTTTCGCTTCTTGCTCGGTTCGACCCCGATGAAGTCCGTCAGATGATTAACGCCGCTCTTGTACCTGGAATCAGATGCACTACTCTTGCTCAAATTCGGAAGATTAGATTATCGACATTTGTGTTAACGTTACCACGCGCATGAGTTACGCTCTCGTAAGGATGTGTACGTCTCTATTCGAATATACAAATTATCGCGAAATAGAATCCTGTTGGCGTTTAAACGTCTGACCGGTTAATCGTCATGTTTTTACAATAATTAATTACGTCCGTGAGTCTACATGGCGCTCAAAATTTCTCTTGTGGTTTTTGAAATATTGTTATAAATCCAATATGAAAAAAATAATTCTGTTTACTGTTTTGCACGCTTGTAATTACGTTAGCGCGAAATAGGATACTGATTAAAAAAGGATATCACCGGCGTCACGATATTCGTGCTCGGACACGTTCGGTCGCAAATATCTCGCCCGGTATTGGATTTTTCCCCGAGTACACACTCGGGTTGATTCACGAGTCGAACTTACTCTACGTATCGCGAAACAGAACTCGCAGTGGCGGCGGCGGCGACGGTGTCGACGTCAACTCAAATAAAATTAGCGATCGAATAGCCGCGGCGTTTTCAGATTTGAACTTTCATTTCATTCGTTATCCCGGCTAATCAACCCTACAGCAATTTCTGTTCGTATAGCACTCATATTAATAATTCTTAAATATTAAGAAAGCGCAAACAAGCACCTCTCATTCTATCTCTAGCATTTTTATTGTCATCATTGCGCTCGTACATCTGCATTAAAGATATTATGGTCATGAATAGTCTTTGTAAAATTAAATTAGATATTCTTACAAGATTCGCCAGTTTGAATAAATCTTTATCTTTATATTTGCTTAAGTCTATTATCCTTATTGAAGAACGGAAATAGAATCGAGCGAATTAATAAAAAATTTTAACCGAGGCGATGCATCGACTGTCGAATGGTGAAATTGACATTCGCTATTTTTCAATCATTTTTTCGATGGCTAATTAAATTAACGCAAAATATTAATTTGTAATATAATAACTGTCGAATTTATTATTGAAGAATCATTTTATCGTCCAATGCGACGAACTCGATTACGTCGTTTCATCTCCCAATTGATTCGGCAACTTGAAAGAAATTTAGGGGAGATCCGATCTCGAGAGTCTCAAGTCGCGAACTTTTTTGGTGTCGCGCGACCAGTCGACATAATTTCATTTGACTGGTAATATTATCGGGTGCGGTGCGGCGCGACATGGAAAAAGCTCGCGGCCGCGACAGCAAACAGGAGAACTTCCGTTGGGACTCCCGGGTGAGCGATGAGAGAAGCGGTACAGTGCGGCTGCAGGGTCGGGGTGCCCGATGGTACGGTCATAGGTACAGTCGCGGTGGCGGCTCAAAATTTATGTTTTTAATTTAACTCCGAATGACCAACTGTCGAGTCGAAAAAAGTATACGGCGGGCCATTAGCATCGCGCGGTAATATTTCGTCGAATTCGAGAAAACAATATGCTAATGGAGAAGTCGGTGAGAGCGCGAAGAACGACGCGGCTCGACGCGACGCGACGCGACGCGACGATTCGACGGGATTCGGATGCCGTCGTCGTTGGTATGCGTTAGTGACCGGTGAGCGCAATGGAGAACAACGCCAAGCGCAAGAAGGAGCGGAGGAGGAAGGCGAAGAAAGAGGAGAGAGAAATAAACGTGAGTTAATACGCAGGGAGAACGGGAAAGCTGCGTGTAAGCTCGCGTGCGTGGGTGTTACACATCGTTGTTGCGTATGGGTGTGAGGGAGGGAGACGTACGGAGGAGGTTCGAAACGAATACGGGAGAAAGAAGAAAGACGGAAACAGAAGGAAGGAGGAATGGAGGCTGCGTGAACGGAGGAATGACAGAGAGAACGTCCCGCCCGCCTCCGCGATGCCGCTGCGGGTAAGGAGCGGAGGTGGACGGCGACGGCGGGTGGCGTGGTAGGTAGGAAGGAGCGACGGCGGGAGGGGGGGGGGAGAGGCACATCAGAAACCTGATTTTAATTAGTCCACAGTTTAATTACTCGGCAGATAAATCGTGCACGTGCACCGCATAAACTAGCCGCTTTCATTTTTCCCGGACGCGGCCGGCACACGGTCGACGCTTAGCTCTACGCCGCGCGAATGCAGGATGGGTCATTGTTGCTGGCTTGCTCTCGTGAAAAGAGAAGATTGTATTCGTACTGTCCCCGTTTCCGTCCATCAAATGATTCGATTATGCCACGCGATGCTTCTTCACCGATTTTTCTATCATTTCAGACCGAAGTGATTATCTTTACTCGCAGATAATCGTCAAGCGATCGCTTCTATGCGAATAAACACAGTTATTTAATGCAATCATTTTTCTTCTTCTGGTCGATTTATTCTCATAATTGCAAATGTAGGCGTAAAATAAATATATACAGAATCTCGTGTTCATATTTATATTTATATTCGTGCTTATTGCGATCGTCCAAATCGTATACATATATTCTTTATAATCTTTAAAGAGAATTAGGCAGCTATGTTTATTAAGTAGGAAATTAAATAAAAATACACTTAGCTCCTTTTAATTGCGGTAATACAGAAGTAAAAAACACAGGCCGATAAGAATAATAATAAAATTAAATGTCACTTAAGTGTGATAAATTTAATATCCAATCTAATTTTAAAAGAACCGCACGCTGCAAGAGTGAAGAAGTGCGTTAATACTCTGATGTCAAAACTATATCGTGGTGCGTTTTAATCACAGCACGACTACATGGATTCCTGATTAGCTCGCGACATAAAGTTCATTAGATTTTATCGGCTCGTAAAATTTACACCTTGTGGATATAGCTTGGATACGAGATTCTTAGGGAGGATCGGTAGTATCTTTCGCGTCATAGCAGAGCCACCGTGGCCGCATTGCGTTGCCGCCGCGAGCGAGTAACCGCCTCGCGATCGTACGCTAACGGTTTCTCCTATTCTAATTAACATTCCATATATTTATTAGACGCGGATCCGCAATTAATCAGGTGGATTCAATTAGTGAATTACCAATTAGCACGCACGCGTTCGCACGCTTTCGCACCAATGCGCAGACGCAAAGCCGAGGCCGCATTGGACGATTGCGAAATAATCAGAAATACAACGTTAGAACATGACTTGTAATCGAGAAAGTCTTCTCTCTCTCTCTAATTAGAGAATTCTAATTGTTATTTATATTAATTATAGCATGTTGATAGCATGTTGATGGCACGTCGAAAGGAACGTTGCATTTATGATACTCTTCCGGCATAAGTATATGTTGGTAGGTCTTTTCTGAAGAAAAACATTCTCACGATATTTGTATGTGATAATTCTTTAAGTATCGTAAGAGTATTACTCACCTCTCTTCTGCCTCCTTCATCCACCTCTCGAGAACGGGCTTAATTTTCTGCGCGCTTTTCGGTGTAATGTCCAGCTTTTCAAATCTAAAGCCAAGAATAAGGCTTGATCTATTTTCCTGCTTTCATATCTCGGGAAATTGATAAAGGAAATGGGCGTATAGAGAGAAGACAAGGACGTAAAAAAAAGATAAGATATCCAATTTCAAGCGTAGTACATAACATATTGAAATACTTGGAGAAACTCAAATCGTTTTAAATTTCTCTGAACATTTGTATTCTCGTCGTTACGTCTTTGTCCCACTAAAGGAGCACTAAGAAGCATGCATTGATTCAATAACAGGACATTGACAATGCGTGCATGCTTTAAGGTTTGGTGATGCCGTGTATGATGTTGCCAACGCGCTGCATAAATAGTTCTCGTGCGACGACGAAACAAGAAAGCGAACCCGATCAAATTTCTCCGTGAAATAATCCGGATCTTAGATTCGGCAAATGTTAAAAATCGCGAATCCTCGGTACTATCCTTTTATTCTTAGCGCGTTGGCGACATCATGCCCAAGTTTGCCAATGCCCTGGCTCGAAGAGAGAGTTAATTTTAGAAGTGCTCCTTTCGCATCTCTTTTCCGAACGGAATTAGAAATTAGTGAGAGTGCTTGTGCAGCTATACCCAAATATGCCTGTTGGTTCTAAACGGGAGAGGACTGATCGCAAATCAGTCGAACGCAAATAAAAGAATAGGGAGTGAAGAAGACGACTGGCGTCTATCTTATTTTTATACGGTATGCACCGTTAATTTTAACACGATGGATCGATTGAATCGTATTTTTTTTTTTTTTTTCTTAAAACTCCTTTTTCAAGACCGTCGGAAAATTCGTACTCGATTTTCCATCGTTGGGTATAACTGCGGTTTCTTAAAGGATTTTAAAGTTTTAGATTTTTAGGTAAATTAAGTAGCATGGAGGGGTGAACGTACGTAGCTTGCTGCTGAGAGGCAATCTGCGAGGCAGCGTACATCTGGGTAGCCAGGGCACTGGGGAACAATCACCAATGCTTATGTTAGTTGATACGATAAGAATTCTTTAAGAGATATAAACATTTTCTCTCCGTTTGCTACCGGTATTACCACGGTGGTTCCATTCGCGTTCTGAAGATGCACCCGATCAGAAACGACGAAGAAAATAGATAGCATCGACAATCTGGAAATCCTACGTCGACGTAAATTTAAGAATATTATATGAATATTGAATATTATATGTTTGACGAATGTAACGAGTTCGTGAGCTTTCTCCAAGTAAAGTAGTTTCTATTTTACGATTAATAATCTGATCTAAATCTAAATTAAATAGCACAAATCAGGAACCATCGTGGTGGATTACGGTATAAATAAGTTCATCATGACACCTCATGAAATTGGATAATGCACCTGTGAGAATTATATTTAGATTCTTTTTAATATTTAAACGAATTGCAAACGTTGCGAAATGACGCGAGAAAAATAATTTTGTTGGAGATTACCGTACAAAAAAAAAAGAGAAACAAAAATGTAAAATTGCTTCGAGATTCTCTTAGCTTTACATTCGAGCGTTCGTTCCTGACGGAAAATGCTGTTACTATCGAACACAGATAGCTATCTGTTTTTGCTACTCTGAACAAATCTGAACCCTTTCTACGCCATTTCCAGTGACCTGGCACACTGTCGTTTTATGTTCTACTATATTATTGAATTCTCATTAGCGACGTCTGTTTCGACGAACGCGAGGAGGACGATCTAGCGATAACTAACCTGCATATGGCACTTTGGCTGTATGCGGGGCCCTCAGTGACGCTCAGAGCCTGTCCAACTTGGGTCTGTGTCAGACCCAGAGACAATCTGCGTAGCTTAAAGACCTTAGCGAACTCCTTAATCTCATCCAAATTGATCCCATCGACTACGTTGTTAGTCGCCTCATTGATCGTTGGCTGATCTGTAATAAAAATTCATTCTATTTCTATCACAAATAGATAAAGAAAGCTATAAAAAAAATCGTCACAAGTCGTGAGTGTTTCATTTTTGCACGACAAAATAAATATAGTATCATGATGACTTAATTCTAAGTGAATTTACAACGATCTTACAACGATCATTTGGAAGCTTCGAACTAATATTCTCAATTTTACCTCTCATCTCTTCATTTATGACATTTGAAAGTTTCCTATAAAATTTAATAAAATCAACGAATCCTTGATTATACGAATCGCATCGCGAGCTAGTCGGAAACGATATCGAATCGATCATGAACGAGATGAAATATTCGTGGTTCAAAAGGTTAACGCGATAAGCAATACATGCGACACGCGTGATCAGTTTTATAGCGATTCTAATGAAGCATTTTGAGTAAGTTAGTGAGCCTCTACCAGTCATTCAAGCACACATTTCAATCGATTCGTCGGAACGCAACGGAGCTACGGAGCGAGAAGGCTACCTAATGACATCAGGCGGCTTCGTTAAAGCGGCTCGAGCTACACCGATTTCTCTCGTAAATCTGTCACCCCGAATGTATACGAACGCAATAGAAATGCCCACATACTCCGTAATCTCGACCAGTTCGCCTGGTTTCTGCGGCGCGCAATAAACTGCAAGACCTTCTTCCGCGACGGTATTTCTACGATCGTTAATTTCCGATCAAGGCACCGAGTACTTCGCACGCTTCAAACAAAAAGCTACGAGCACGCTATATGACTCGACCATGACACGATAAATAAAGGAATAAGAATATCGCGAGCAAAGTGTTCGCCGCTCGAAACGGTTCGCGATTGGTTCGCAAAATCTAAAACGACTATGGCTTTGACCGTGATCACAGTTATCGAACTTCTAAGTTTCGTACGTATCGCAAATTGCATAAATAAAATGAATACGACGCGAGAGATAAACTGTTAATTGCTAAAGCGTAATTACGAAGTGTACAAATATCAGAACATGACATTCGAGACGCGTCGTTTATATTATACAAAGTAGTATAATAAATAATAAAAAATTTATTAGAGACTTTTAATTTTATTGTAATGTTTGCGATGTCGCCTACGTGAAATTCTATCGGCGAGAAGTTAACAAAAACAAATATTTATGAGATAATGTTCACATCTGACACTAGCAATTGAGAATCGTTAGGCTTCACGCGCCGAATGATTATTCCATCGCGTCAGGACGACGAAGTGCCTGTCTACGCGATGATTGTGAGTTATTAAAATTATTGTCAGCCAATACGAGGTTACGTGTGCTGCTGGAATCTTTATGGTTTCCTAGAAGGCAGTAAGGAACGAACTAATGCTCCGTAATGAGTCCAGTATACAATATCCTATTACAGTTGTCAAGCGTTCCGCTATTAGTTCAAAATGTTATTATTTTCCAGCTTCGAATGTGTTAAAACATTAAATTGTTCCTTCTGCGATGTGTTTCCACGAATATCAGAGAGAAACGTTGCCGTTTAAGCGATCGTTAAGAAAAAATTGAATGCGTATTTCAATTATAAAGGGTATAGGCTTGCGGATTTGCGCGCAGCTGGTCACGATTAACACCTTGTCAAAAATATCGTCAGAATGTGACAACCTGGCAAAATAAAGATAAGGAACGCGTTTGCATGTGGTAATTGCTTCTTTAAAAGTGATCATTATGCATGCAATCGCTTGTCGACATTAGCGAGTGTGCTTCGTATAAGCAAGTGATTGCGTTATAGGAAGATGGTGTCTCCAGCGAAAATTGTAATTAAAAGCTGTCAAGGTGTAACACGGCTACCCCGAAGGCGTAGCTCGATTATCATTTACGCGCGCGTAAATGTGGACATCGTTTTAAACGCTCTGTCAAGTACCGCAAACCAATTGACACAGATCATCCCGACTTTCGACCCGTAGGTTAATATCGCTGTAAAGAAAAAGAAAAAAAAAAAGGAAGTAAACAGCATCTTACTCGGTGAATCGTTCAAGAGATCGTCCTCCTCCTCCTTTGGACTGTGCATACTGCTCGGAGAAGCCTTTACCCCGGCACCGCCGGGTCCATGCGTCGTCGTGATAGTAATCTCGCCGTTGCTAGCGGCCAATCTGTTCAAAGCGGATGCGGCGGACACCACGGATTCGTTCAGTGGCGACGACTGCTCCGGTCTCTCTCTGTGATGTTTTTCCGTCGGCTGTGAACACAATATAGCAGTAGGGACGGATTAGCAGCTCGCCGAGGAACGAGAGCGTCTCTCTCTTCCACGTCAATTATGCACTTAATAATGAGACGAGACCTCGAACACTTGGGACACTTTAGAGTCTAATTAGTGGAAGGAATGCCACCGGTACGGAATACTTTCTTAACAAGATCGCTCGGAGTATCGGAAATTATTCTGGTCGTTTCACTCATCTTGCTGCGAATCTACTTCGCGCCGGAAACGGAAACGCGCATGTTCCACGGTTGAACCGCGATCTAGTAGAAATTCGTTTACATCGTTAGAAAAAACAATAAGTAAGAGTAACCAGTAAAAGTATTTATTCTCTTCGATTCGTATGGCAGTGCTGTTCGCCGATGGAAGGTTAACTACAGTAACGGTTATAGTTGAAATTATTGAGAAAGTGAACACATACCGTACGGTTGCTATTGAGATGAAACATGAAATACATGCGGTTTCCGTAACAATACAACTATACAACTATACAACTATATCCACGATATCACGAAAATATGAAGCTTATTGTAAAGAAAAACATTGCTATTTTAACAAGCCAAGTTATATGTCTATCAATTTTGTTTGATAGCGTGACATGGGGAATTCTATTATTTTAAATCTGCGGAAATCTGCGAACAGCTACACATAATTATATAAAACTACTTTATTGCTTCAAGTGCCAAATTATTACGAGAAATTAATACGAGTTTTCCCTACGTCTTGGAATATTTGTTTCTGCTTGTTAGCGCTTGTTAGAATATTACTGATAAATTATACAGATTGTACACTTATTTTTGAAAGGAGGATGCTGGAAGAGGCAAGAAATCGTACGTACTGTGTAATGATTCATATGCGAGGTGTGTCGGTGGCTGTGCTGTTGAGGCGATGTCGTTAAGAGCGGTTGTTGGGAAGCCTGAACGGCCTGTACAGCCTGCGCTGCTTGCGCCTGTGCCGCCTGGGCAGCCTGAAGCAGTTGCTGAGGCTGCATCGCGCTCAGAAGTTGTTGGCTCGCCGAGCTATTGCTCAGAAGATGCGGTAAAGCGGCAGGGTTCAATCCTAATCCCGATGCCAGGCTGGGACTCGTGGGAACTGATAAAAGGACAAGTAAATGCGCATAATACGATATCCGATGTATTAATTACTTAAAGTAAATATAACGGTTATACCATCTGAATGGGCATTTTAATAAAATGTGTTAAAAATTGACGTCACAGAAACTGACGTCAATCTAAAAATTCCTAAATTAATAAAGAAACAATTTAATCTTTTAAACGTATGACGCATATATCCGCTCGGTATATTTTCTTTTTATTTCTTTAAATAATTCTATGACATAGTTAATGTTTATGAATAAATAATATTATAGACTCGAGGAAAGCGTAAATATTTTAGTAAAACTCCAATATTCAGTTATATGTTACGAGACTGCTCGGTATCTTAAGAGAACTTAACGCGAAAAAGAACCCCGTCTCCAATGTTTATTACTGCTAGCTGAATTCCTGTCACCCAGATTGCGTTGTTGAATTATTCCGTATTCATAGGATTAAATATTGTATTTATGAACCATTATAGATTTAGCAAATATGAAAGATTATTTATATTCTATATGAATATTTTATTTTATTTTATAAGATGAAAATTATAATAAAATATAAAAATTATAATCTTACGACAAATATATAACAAATATATGACATTTTAAAATAACGAACTGATAAAAATGCATTGAAATATATTTAGCGAGTTATATTGTATGGCTTCGAAGAAAAGGGAATAGATATTCAAATGACGTGTAAAGGCAGATTTATTAAATATATATGTGATTACATCAAACACATGGCATAGGAAAATCTTATAAATAGATTACCGTTAAACTTACCATTGCTCGTAGGCGTATTAAGCATATTTTGCGGTTGAGCTAGAGATTGCAGATTCGCCAGTGTCGTAGAAACGACCTGTCCATTACTGAGCGCCAAGTTCACCATTTGATTATTCGTGACGTGACTGACCGGTATGGTCAAGATGGTTTGGGTAGCGATTCCTAAGAAATGAAAAACATTTTTTCAAAATGCTGTGTCTCCCTAGTGAAAGACTGTTCCAGGATCGAAGGTGAGGAAAGGCAATGGATTATGGTAGCCATCGAAAATGTTCCATGATCGTATTTCAAATCAATAGATACTTCATTTCCATTATGAACATAGTCCACGCGTCGTTGATCCAGGATGGGTAGTAAAGTTATCAGAGTCTCATAGAGGGATTATTAGGCAACCCATAGGGCAGGTAACCTCGCAGGCTAGCGTAGTTGGCAAACTATTATCGTCATCTTAATAGTGGGTACAGGTACTGGTACTGGACTGCGCTGCGAGAAGGACGCCTAATCATACTTAGAATAGTTTCGGGATTACCTCCAGCTCCGCTAATCTGATTACCCTGTACACGCGCTTAATATGATTACTGATCATGAGTACGTACCCGTGTTGCCACCTACAGCTAAGCTAAGCAAATCCCGTATTCCGAACAGCCATAAAAGTTTCACGTTCTGAGGTAAGGTCAACCGACAATCCGATTAACGTTCAGTTCAAACGTTACCGAACGATAACGCGTTGTCAATACTTTCACTGTTGATTTGCGCTCTCTGACAAGAGTGTAATGATTGGAAAATATTTTGCTTATTCGAATGCGTGGGCGGCCCGCGAATAGCGACATAATATTTGCTTTTCGTTTACGCGTCATCATCTGGAAGCAAAGAATTTTCTTCAACACTTTTAGGAATATCGGAGATTTATTTATATCTGATATGTAGAAGGATTCGGATGATGTTATTTCCATTTTCAACAAGACGCGCATGACCTCTCGTATATTTTAATCTTCGCTGCTTTTTGAGTCTTAATCATTTCATACGACGAATAAAATCTCGAACGGCTATCACTTTGAATAAAGCCACGGACATTCCTGCGGACAATAATTTCTATGAACGACAACCTATTGACCGCACTCTCGAGCACTCCTCGACTCATCCTCGCCGACACTCGATGTCTATCAGGGACCAATCGAGCGTTAGTCAGTTACCATCGATTGAGTCGAAAAGCAGTGCAAACATTATTTGCCGCCACGTAACTCGTCATCCTCTACCGCGGCTGGTCCATATCCACGAACTTCAATCCACTTAGGCGGAATCCCAAAGTTCTCCTTCTGCCTCTCGCCCTCTGCCTCCGCCCGCTCTACGCTGTATCTCCATCTCACTCTCTTTCTCTCTTCTACCCTTTCTCTCTCTCTCTTTCTCCCTCGATTACTAGAATAGGAACTAGGATAGGAACCTAACTTGGTAGAAACGAAGTTAGCGCGGACCGCAATCGATATAATAGCGGCCGAATCCGCGGAGCTGCGATGTCCAGCCAGTGAGTGCTAGAGCTAGGAGTATGAGGGGAAAAGGACGGACCCGAGAAAGGAGGTAGGATAGGGTGGGATTCGTGAGGTTGGAGAGGGGTAGTGAGACGTTAATTATACATTGAAATTAGTTGCAGAGTTTGCCCTGTGCTCGGCGAGGCAGTCTAGGACCACTAAGTATGGACGACGGACCGGCCTTAGTCCGAGCTCTGGTCAGAGATAGTCGATATTATATTATATATCGGCACATCTTGATTGCACAACATTATGCGCCGGCACAGCGCCGGGTTATGTGTTCCGTCCAGTGGACGCGCGATCATTTTATGCGTGGCAACCGTCGATGGAATTTTGATTGATTGCAATTTCGTTTGTAATCTCGTAGATTGTATTCATCGGCAATCGATATTACAACGATAAGAGAAAAAAGGGTGTCCATTCCATTCGGAGGAAATGTTGAAATTGTAGAGTATCAGGAGTAACTTACCTTGCGAAGTGGGGATAAGAAGCTGAGCTCCTTGAATGCCTTGAACCAATTGACCGGACGTTAGGATGAATTGAGGCATCGCGACCGGTTGCGGTTGAGATAATAGCTGAGGTAACGTTGCCATTGGGGCTGAACTAGGTGGCAAAAGGTGGGGAGCTGCCGTCGTACTCGAGGCTGTTGGTACGGTTCCGCCTGGGAGTGAAAATTAACGATTTCACGTGCGTTAAATTACTTTTGTCATCTGACACTTGATCCTGATTTTCGATATCGCATATAGCTCCCGCTCGTGTTTTTACATCTAACTACATTTATACAGGAAATTTAATTTGTGCTTCTTACCTGACGAACTGACGGTTAAATTTAACGGAGTATTGATCAACTGATTATTAGTTAATCCCGCTGTCATTCCTTGAAGACCGGCGGCCAATGACGCGACTTGAGGAAGATTTTGCAAATTCGCTAAGTTCTGAAGATTCTGTAGTGTCACCATGCCGGCCACTACGCACAAAATTCCAATGATAAGAAAGCAATGCCAAATACACAAATCGATAAAGTTTTGTATCTGTCTCGAACTGTCTCGCACTTACTTGTCCCGTTTAGGTGAGCTTGTGCAACCGCCGCACGTTTCGCTTGATGAAGATTTTCGGGTGACGGGCTCCGTCGTCTCTTCCGTGAATTCTTCATGTCATCTATCATCATTTGATGTTCGTGGAGTGCACCACCACCTGTCGCTGGTTCGGGACTTCCAGCGCTACTCCTGTCGCTGTCCTGTAACACACACACACACACACACACACACATATATATATATACATATGTACGATAGATATATAATTGAAATTCAATTACCTTTGATTTATACGATCATATGAAATGAACAATTATAAATCACGAGAAATTCCGTTGGATCGAATTATATGATTTTATAATTATAATAATAGCAATATTATTTAAATGTGTATACTTTTCTATTAAAACGCGAATTTTACTAAGAGATCGGATATCTTTCAGAATTTTTGAAATAAAATGATACGCACTCTACTTTTTCTCGTGAAAATCAATCGAATAGCGACGCAAAGGTTTTAATACAAGTTAACAGTCATTTCCAAAATGACCGAAACATTCAATTATACGCGCGTGGTTCGTTAACGTGCGATGCTTTTTATTGCGGTGGCGCGTTTAACATCGAAAATAGATTAATAATCATTCACAGTTCACATAAATGATACACATTAAAATATTCCATTATAGGTCGGTAGAAGTGAGAAAAAACAATGACAGTAAATTAATGACGATAATTATTGTAATATAATGCACGCGAACCATTGAGTCTTACGACACGTGATCACTGTCGAATATTAATTTCAATATCACTTACGCGTGGCAATGAAAATTGAATTCGTTTGTATTATCGTGGTGCCGATCCTTGCCCATAAACATAATCCAACAACGCGTACGGGCAAAGTGATTTAGTTATTCACGCTCAATAATACATTTTTGGAATTAACTTGGTCGTCGAGCCGACCGTCCGATTTAATCAATACCAATTTGGCAGAACCGCGCGACATACGGTGCATCGTGACTTTCGAAAATTCTCCCATCGGCAAACAGCCGCAAAAGATTATGCGAGAAGGCGAGAATCGCCGCGCGAAAAAAATATATTAATCACGCGTTTCCCGGTTGCTCCGCTTTCGTGCCTGGCAGATATATAATTCATGCATATTTACGGAATACCATCGGAATAATTAACGAACGCCGGCACATTAAGGCGTGCCGTATATACGTACGTGTGTACGTGTAGCCGAGGTTCTTAGAAGACAATCTAAATTATAATAAATCGATGGAGTATATATGCCGTAATGCTTTACCACCACGAGTGTATATCGACGGTGGTGGTGGCTGTGCCGTGGAGAGTAATGTTACCGGTGCGGCCTCTTTGCATAATGGTATGGAAATATGCCGGAACGTGTATCGCCATAGTTGGATACAGATTAAGCGTTTTAGAGCTTCGACACTCGAGTAATTTGGAAAAAAGAGTTCCCGCGCGGATAACTGGACCCATGAATAAATGGGACTGCTTCTACGGTGGTTATCACTTTACCTTGGAAGTACGACTTCTGTTCTGCTTAGACATATCGACGTAAATATCAAAAAGATTCGACGTGAGATACATGAATAAACGTACTTTAATGTTGTTCAAAGCAGAATAAAATGAAATCTTATGTCAAGAGTTATTATTATTTTTTTCATATAATTTTCTTGGAAGTAAAAAATATGAAATCAAGAGTGAATAAAACGATCAAATTCGCAAATATCGAATTAATTGTACTGTCAAAGCATCTCGGTACATTCAGTCTGATATTTTTTTTTCTAAAAAGGGGTATTCTCTGGGTGCGGCTTGTAATCCCGGCTTGAATTTTCGTCAAAGTCGCACAATGGGCCGCGTGCGTCGCTGGTCGAGGCATTTCATTGCATAAAAAATAGATAAAGCCTGGTCGATAGGTAACGAACGAAAATAGGAGGCGCAGAGGGTACGGCAGTTCAATTTTTTTTCACGCAAATTCGTAAATGGCTATACCGCCAGTATAGCCACCCTATATTAAATGGACGAGGCGACGGGGATTAGTTGAATGCACAGGCTCGACCATTTTGCTTGTAAAAGTGCACACGATATACAACCAGGCGTAGAAACATATGTTTATGAGCTTCTAGTATTTCGCATAAATTAATCAATGCCGCAGCATCGCGGCACATAGGGCACAAAGACTTTTGTACTAATCGCTAATTTTTCTATATCTTGTTAAATAATTTTTTATCCATGAAACTAATATCCATACTTTTATCTGTCTATTATATATTATCTATCTATATTTTTATTATATAAAAACTGAAAAATACATTCTACATTTTTGATATACGTTTAATACAAACAACTTTCAAATATTATTTCAAAAGTTCTTTTATGTTTGTACATTTTTATAATTCTTTGTTATTATAGATGTATTATCACGGAAGAATACGAAGCGAGTATTGATAGTATTGAGTGATACGTAGTATATCAGAAAAATTGTAATTTGTAATTAGTGACTGCGATTCCTCACTCCATGCCTCAAGATATACGGCAAGATGATTTATCCAAACACATCGAAGTCATGCCGCCCACGCCATTGGTTTCGCTGACGCCGACGCTTTAAATTCCCTGAGAGAAATCAGTCGCATGATCGATAAAAAATCGTTATCTCACGTCCATAAGCCATCCCGCTAATGCGAAAAACCGAGGCTGGATCCTCTCCCTCCCGCGAATGGGGCGGACGGTGAACACGAACGGTCAGTGGGAGGCGCGAAAAAAAATACACGGGGCAGAGGAAAGAGGGCGGAGAACGTTCGGTTGGTCGTTGGAAATGCAACAATAAACATTACTTATCGGCACGGGGGTCTCTAACAATGCGTATACGAGGAGAAGCGGCGCGGCTGGTAGCAAAGCGCAAGTTTTTTGCAATAAAGTCATTTCGAGCCGTTTGAGTTATGGGTAATTCCTGTGGAACGCCCGGGCCTCTGCGCTCTAGCTGGCTAGTCCGAGTCCGGTCCATTGATTAGTATTAATGACTTAGCTGCACTCATTTCGCCCGAATAAAAGTAATTGGATTTGGCTTCGACCCCGCGCGGACCGCGCTGTAGTTTGGCGTCGGCGGCGTCGGGCGGCGTCGGCGGCGTCGGCGGTGGCGACGGCAGCGGCTGGCAGAACAAAACTCGTGGGCGCGTGTAAAAATACATTAATATCTGTTTGCGCTTAATAAACGATAGCCGCACTGACTTCAGACTAATGGCCATATTCCGGAATCGGTAATACGCATTTTTATGTTTCTTTCTGAAACGCGGCGCCGCGCCACGCCGCGCCGCGCCGGTTTCATCCCATCTTCGACTGCGGCTGTTTCTGCCCCTGGCGATCGATTTGTCGAGCGGAGTACCGTCAGCCGTTATGAAAATTGAGCGATTTTTTGGCAGGAAAAAAAGTTACGTAGCCGAGCTTTGCTTGGTGGTGGTGGTGGTGGTGGTGTGCTCAAAAGCATGAGTACGAGTGAGAAATATTTAAAGGTTTTTCTAAGTTTTCATATGAATTACAAATCGATTTTTTTGGCAATATTAATTAGTATCAACTAAGACGAAAAGTATCAATGACTCGAATTAAGAATAGAAAAGCTTTTCAAAAAAAGTCAAACATATAACCAAGTGTAAAATGTATTTAAATAAATCAATGATCTGATTCAACTTGATTTCACAAATCTCGCAAATCATTTCAAACGTTCAAACTGTTTAATTCGGTGATTCCATCGATAAAATTTACAATAAACACTCGCTTGTAAATATATTTAAACAGTTGAAAGCTGACTATAAGCTTGATTTAATTCTTGCACATTTTGTTCATGTTACATACTAATAATATTGTTTATATATCGCATATTAATTATGCATAATTATCATGCGATCGATAATTATGCGAAATCATTCAATGCGCCACAGGAAGGCATGAAAAGGCAAGAGAACGATGAATTTCCTTCACGATTAAGGATTCTAACGAATCCTGCGGGGGGTCGCAATTATCACGTGGTCATTGCGAAAGGGTGTTATCGGGAGTGGAAATCCAGCGAGACAGTGGCAGAGGGTCTGCTCTCTACATGGAAAGGACAGAATGGAGACAACTAGAGAAAGGTAGACAGAGACAGTTTGACAGAGAGAGAATCATGAAGAGAATCATGGAGGAAAGAGAGGAAGTGAATAAGAGGGAGAGAAAGAAAGGGAGAGAGTAAGAGATAGAATCCGCTCGACCCCTCGGTTCAGGCCGCTTTGTCTGTAAGTGTAATTAGTCCAGGGTGGGGTTCCTGGGAGTCGAGGCTCGGGGATATAAGGGAGGGCAAAAGAAGGGGGGCACAGCGGAGCAACGGGGTGGGTTCATCCTGGCCTCCCTCGCCCTGTCGCTATGCCCCACCACCGCCTTATTTATATGCAAATGAGCTTCATTTCGCGATATTAATGTTCCACCCGAGTCGGCCTGCCTCGGCGCGAAAGGGTGCGAGGATACGCGGAAAAGGGTTTCGTCCTCCTGCTTCGTATGTGTTTACGACCGCTTCGCCTGCACGGACAGCAGTCGAGTCAAAACGTCAAAAATTGTGACGACTTCAATAGCCAAAAAAGATAAGGCGTCTTTCAAAGCGACGCTACATATACGGAGTTTTATGTAAATCAGAATCTATAGTTAGTATAAATATAAGGAGTAACAAATTAATCGTCCATAAAATTTTTGAAAAAAAGGATTGTAACATTTCACGTTATACTTTATTCGAATAAATTAAAAGCGACTGTCGTCACGCTGCAAATAATTCACCTTACGGTTGCCTCCTCCAGCAAGCCGCGCGATTAATCGCTATAACACGATGACTTGTCAGCCTTCCCGGGCGGATCGAAAATTTCCAACGGCACGCCGACATAGTCCCAAGTCGCGGCACTTACATGGCGCGTAGGTAGTACAGATAATGACCGATTTATCGTAACGAGTGGAGCGTGGCGGCGGGTAGACAGACCCCCATCAAGGCCCCACCGGGGTAAATTAACAACAGACAAGCCACTTGAAACATTACCGAGGCTTCCTTGCGAAGCAAGTCGGGGGTGGGCTCGCGCTGTGTTGCCTTACTCAACATAAATTAGGGCCGATAGAAAGGGTAGATTGCAGAATGTTGAGTGTATAACGACCGGCGCGCACTGCCGGTAAC